ATGTGATGCTGATAACACCACGGTCTGGGGTTGGATCGCTGCACTGGCTAGCTGCCAAAAGCAAACAAAGGGGGATAAGCTTTTCGGTCCTTTCCTTAGCTACATCAATTAGATCTCACTATTAAAATCTGCACACTGCGATAGTCAAGGAGTGTTAATAAAGTGAGATTTCGATGGCATTATTAGCCCACTGGCTGTCCCTGCACTCATTTAGCTAGTATTTATCAAATTTTGATAGTGTGCTTGGCCTGTGTAGCTAAAAAGATGAATAAGACAGTCATTTCCTCCAAGAAGTTCACAGCTAGTGGGAAAGAGATGTGAAAACAAATAGTTATAATGAAAGAAACAATGCAGTGTAGTAAAAGCTATTGTAGAAATATCTGCAAGGTGTTGCTGAAGCATAAAAACAGAAATATCCCTGACTTCTCAGTAACTTTCGAGGAGTCCAGAAGATGGAAAATTGAGCTTTTCATTTATACTCAGCTCTGTTGGAGTCCTTGAAGCTTAATACCCATTTACCTCTCTTATCATATTTTAAGACAGAAAGTTGATTTGCCACACCAATGCTAGTTGTGATAAGAATAATGTTACTGGGCACAGGTCCAGCTGCCTACTCCCTTTCAAAATTAAACAACTCAGAAGTCAAATGTTGGTGAAAATGGAAGTCAGTTTTTATTCAGGCATACCGATGACCTGAAGAGAGATGTTAGACTAACTCATCTCTCTGGTAAACCTGAAGCAGAATGGCCAGACTAAAGCCATCTCAAAGACTCAGATTGGTTTTTAAAGAGGGGTCTGAGGGTATGGAATATGGGAAGTGAAAAGCAGGAGGGAGGGAGACATGCAAGGGACCAGGTGCAAATTCTTGCCAAGACTGTCTGGTTTCCGCTCCTGTCCTTGCTGTTCTCAGGATTCTGCTGGAGGGGTGGAATCAGCATAGCTTTATTGATGTCTTCCTGGGTTTCCCAGGGTCTGCAAATTTGCAGCTTCAGGCTGGCTGGAAAACAACTTTACATTAATGTAAATAATGTCATCTTATCTCACAATCATGGTTTAAAGTATCAAATAACCATGGGAAAAAGAGGGAACTCAGAGAAATGCATGCCAAGAAAAAAACTGTATCCTTTTAAAATCTTTTATTGTCCATGTGGTTTTAGATCCAACATAGCTTCAGTCCTGCTCACTCAAACAGTAATAATAGATATTACTGTTTATTGAGTGTTCACTATGTCTCAGATACTGTTAAGCATTTTATATACATGGGTCTCATTTAGTCCTCACAATAATCCTATAAGGTAGGTATTATCATCCCTATTTTATATATGATAAAATTGAGGTTTGCAAAAGAAAAGTAACTTTGGTTTATGAATTTCTTCCCACCTAATCACAGTCATGCATTGCTTAAAAACAGGTATATGCTCTGAAAAATGTAGTGTTAGGTGAGTGTATCACTGGGAAAACATCATAGAGTGCACTTACACAAACCTAGACAGTATAGCCTACACCCACTACATGCCCTAGACTATATGGTATAGTCATTTTTTTCTGCCTTTACCTGAATAATGTGTTCCACTATGACATCATGATGGCTACAATGTTACCAGGTGGCAGAAAATTTTCAGCTCCCTTAAAATCTTATGGGACCACCATTATATATGCAGTTCATCGTTGATGCAAACATCATTATGCGGTACATGACTGTATATGGTAGAACTTGGTATATGTAGTTTCTTAGACATCACTGTCTACTACACACCCTACTTTGTTTCTAAATAGTGAAATAAAGACTTGAAGTACACCTTTGTGAAAATTGGGACCTCTTGCTATATAGAATTTGGAATCATAGACTTCTAGAGACAGTTGTTTTAGGAATTCACATTTTAAAGATAGAGGAACTGATGCCCAGAGGAATTTAATGTATTAGGCAAGGTTACTTAGTGCTCTGGTGGGAGACAAGGCTTGTCTTCTAGGCCAGTATTCTCATCCCTGGGCTAAAGGCTTGAGAATGTACAGACTCCAGGATTTAGTACAATTATCTATACTAACCACTGTTAAATGTTTTAGACAACAATAAAAATATTCAAGATGAAACAAAATTAATTTTATGACATAGTTTTTAGGTGATCACCAGTGTTTCATCTCTATTTATTGGACAAGGGATTTTGATCCAGTAGAGGCCATGTATTCAAGGTTGGAAAGACACTGCACTGCCCTACTTAGTGGAGGGGCAGATATGCAATCAAACAAATAAAATACAGTAGTCCCCCCTTATCCACAGTTTCGCTTTCTGTGGTTTCAGTTATTTGGAGTCAACTGAGGCCCGAAAATATTAAATGAAAAATTCCACAAATAAACAGTTCATAAAATTTAAATCCTGTGCCATTCTAAGTAGGGTGATGCAATCTTGCACTATCCTGCTCTGTCCTGCCTGGGAGGTGTGATCATCCATTTGTCCAGCATCTCCACACTGTATACGTGACCCATCTGTTAGAATCTTAGTAGCTGTCTCAGTTGTCAGATTGACTATCACGGTATCATGGTGCTCTTTTCAAGTAAGCCTTATTTTACTTAATAATGGCCCCAAAGCACAAGAGTAGTGATGCTGGCATATTGTTACAGTTGTTCTATTATATTATTAGTTATTCTTGTTAATCTCTTATTGTGTCTAATTTATAAATTAAACTTTATCATAGGTATGTATGATAGGAAAAATCATAATATATACAAGGGTTTGGTACTATCCGAGGTTTCAGGCATCTGCTAGGGAAATAACTCCCAAGGATAAGGGGACACTACTGTACATTCTGTTAAGGCCAATAATATAGACATGTAGAAAGATCTAGAGTGTTAGAGAAATGTGTAAACAGTGGTTCTCAACTGGAAGGTAATTTCAACTCCTGCCCCCAGCAATGTCTAGAGGCATTTTTGTCATGACTAGGGGAATACAACTGGCACCTAGTGTGTAGAGACTAGGGATAGTGCTAAACATCCTAAAAATCACAGGACAGCCCCCACAACAAAGACTTAGCTCACCCAAAATGTCAATAGGGCTGAAGTTGGGAAACTCTGGTATAGAGCCAGCAAAAGATTTTCTACAAGGGATAGGTGAATGGGTAAAGGTTGAGGGGGAGGTTACAGAAGAGTTTAGTGAAGGGATAATGATTGGAGCATGGGGAAGGGGGTTACTTCTACTAGAAGAAGCCACATGTGCAAAACCACAGAAGCATGGCATATTCGGGCAATCCCAAACACGGGGGGAAGAGTTGTGGGCAGTAAGGCTGGACAACTAGGCGGGAGCTAGACATTCAAGAAAACATATTGAGTTAGAGGAATTACTGTAAGAAAAACTGTTGGTTCTGTGATGGCTTTTTTTTTTAATGCTTAATAGGTTTTTTATTTTTTTTTCGTTAAATTTTTATTTTGTCAATATACACTGTATATGATTATTATGGCCCATCACCGACACCTCCCTCCCTCCTCCCTCTCTCCCCTCCCCCCCAAGAATGTCCTTTCCGTTTGCTTGTTGTAACAACTTCATAAAAGTATAGTTGTTATATCTTCTCCCCCCCACCCCCGGTTTTTTTTGTGTGTGTATGTGAGTGAATTAATTTGTTT